CTATCAAAAGTACCTCAAAAGTATAGGTACTATTTATATCATTTCAAAGAAGCACATGTAAAATTGCGTGTGTGTACTCTCATCAACGTACCATGCGACAGCTGGGAAGAAGTTTGTCCAAAGATATCCGCCCATAGCATCTGAAATTGCCTAATAGGCAGATTTGTGGATTAGAGTTGTAAGTGGCTCCTCACTGGCCCCCTTCCAAAAAAATGTAAGGGAAGTCACGTTGCCTATTCTCCAGGGATGGATGTGCAGGTTGGGCAGGCTACAAATTCAGAAGATAATGAAGAGCCTTTAAAAGAACAAAACGCTTCACAAGTTTGTGTGCCTTTCCCGTGCAGGGCCATGCTAATTTTGTATGTATTGTGATCTGGGTGCAGGAATGGCAAATGAGCACGAAGGTACATTCTGACTGAGTGCCAGCTCAAAGCATGTGACTGCTTTTCATTTTCATGTCCCAATGTCAAAGCCACCATTTTAATAAGTTCCACAAGAAGGTGGTCAGAATTATATACAGGAACACTAAAATAAAAAAAATGGACAAAAGAGCAGAAGTTGAAGTTTTCTCTAAATACTGTAGGAGAGAACAGCATAAAGACAAGACCAGGTACTAAAACATAAATCACAGAATAAAGAGTGAGGAAAAAGTAAACATTTCAGGATGTTATTTTAAACTAAACAAAAAAGTTAAAAGGTTGAAAAAGTGAAAATGAAAACAAATGGAAGCATGCTAAAACAGAAAACCAATAAACCAGGAGATGGAGACTTGAGTTCTAAACCTAGTTCTGCAACTAAGTAGCTAAGATACCCTTAGCTACTCATCTAAGAAATAGAGACTGAACTAAATTAACTTTCAGGTTTTATAATAAAAGATTATTTAAAGATGTCAAATACAAAATTAACACTCAACCTGCTTTCTTCCTACCTTCCTCGAATAAATCTCCCCTCATCACTCACTCTGTGTCTTTGTTAATTGTGCTGCTGGCTAGGGCATACATCATTACAGTAGAACTGTCTTCCTCCAAGGGTTTGAAGATGCCCTTTCTACTCTCAGAAAGAACAGTAAAGGGGTGCCTGGGTGGCTGAATCAGTTAACTGTCCAACTCTTGATTTTGGCTCAGGTCAAGACCTCAGAGGTGGTGAAATCGAGCCCCGTGTTGGGCTCCATGCTGAGTGCCGGGCCTGCTTAAGATTCTCTCTCCCTCTGCCCCTCCCCCACCTCCTTTCTCTCTCTCTCTCTCTCTCTCTCTCTCTCTCTCTCTCTAAAAAAACCAAAATAAAACAAAACAGTAAGGTAGCCATTTCAATATTAAACTTAAATTTCAATTGCCCTTTTTTTAAGTGACAGAGTTGATATAGAGTATCATGAGTTTTATGATTATGAAATCCAAGTATTTTGTTTAAACCTTACAATCATCTGTGTAAGGTTTAAACAGGTGTACAACAGTGATTCAACATTTACGCACATTATGAAATGACCACCACATAAGTATAGGTACCATATGTCACTGTATACAGTAATTTCAATTACTTTTAGTTGATAAAAGTATTTTTCAATGTTCTTTAAAATACTACAAAGTACTAAAAAAGAATGAATAATACAGTACAGAGAAATGAATAACTGAAGGCCAGTGCTTACACTGGAAGCAGGTAAGAAGTATATGAGTCTCATTTCTGTTGGCAATAAAAACGACTAGTATCTTAATTATACTTCAAATGGAAAAACTAATCTGTATTCCCAAACTCTCAAGAATATGGCAAAATAGATAGTAAGCAGGTTTAAAAAGAAAAACAAAAACCAACCCTTATGGCATGGAGAAAATGAAATGGTAAGATTATTCCTGAATCAATAAAAGTTACTGGGAATTGCTCAGTGAAAATTTCTGTAACCTGAGTCCAAATAAACGTCTCTTAAATATCTCAATAAAAATATATAGGAGCATGGCAATACTGGTTGTCCCTGGAGAGGGAAATGGAATTAGGGTTTGGTAGGCAGAGGTAGGGAAAGAGACTTTTCAATAAATTCCCTTATATACTTTTTGATTTCTGAACAATATAAATAATTTTTTAAAAATTATTTAACTTAAAAACTTTAATAGGGCCTCATCAAAATTAAATACTTTTACTTTTCAAAAGAAAATTAAGACGTGTCATAGACTAGGAGAAAATAATTGCAAATCATATGTCTGATAAAAACTTGTATCCTGGGGTGCCTGGCTGGCTCAGTCAGAAGAGCGAGCAACTCTTGCTCTCAGGTTGTGAATTCGAGCCTCCATGCTGGGTGTAGAGATTACTTAAATAAAACTTTTTTTTTTTTTTAAAAAGACCTCTATCTAGAATATACAAATAACTTTCAAACTCAGTAAGAAGAAGAAATCTCCTTGAAAACATGAAAAAGGCATCTGAACAGACATTTCACCAAATATATCCACAAATAATAATAAGCACATGAAAACATACTCAACATCATTAGCTGTTAGGGAAAAAGAGAATAAAACCAAGAGATACCACTATATAACCACTAGGATAGCTATAAGAAAACAAAAAAAATATATGTTGGTGAGGATGCAAAGCTGGTAGAACTGTAAAATGATGCAGCCACTTGGCCAGAGTTTAGCAGTTTCTTAAAAAATTAAACACAGACCTACCCTACAACCTAGCAATTCCATTCCCAGGAATCTACCCAAGAAAAATATAAACGTATGTCCATACAAAGACCTGAATGTAAATGTTCACAGCAGCATTATACACAAAATGAAAAGCTGGAAACATTCCAAATGCCCATCAATCAGTGGATGAATAAACAAAATGATATATATACCCAATTGAATACTATTCAGTAATAAAAAGAACTACTGATACAGGCTACAATATGGATGAAACTCAAAAACATTAAGTGAAAAAAAACAGTTGCAATTCCATATGATTGCATTTATGCAAAATATCCAGAAGAGGTAAATTATAGAGACAGAAGACAGACAGACTAGTAGTTGTCTACAACTAGCAGGAGGAGCAGAGATTAGATGCAAACAAGCACAAGGGAATCTTTGAAGTGACAAATGTTTTAAAACTAGATTATGGTGATAACTGCACAACTTATATATTTATTAAACCTAAACACTGAGGTGCCAAAAAATTATTTAGCTGAAACTCTTACTGGAAACTAAAATTACACAGCAATTAAGATAGCCTACAATCCTACAATAGTATTATAATCAACTTAATGTTAACTATGCCATGCTTTAATCATCCTAAATAGATTTTATTTATTTATTCATGAGAGACACACAGAGAGAAGCAGAGGGAGAAGCAGACTCCATGTAAGGAGCCCGATGTGGGACTCAATCCCGGGACCCCAGGATCACGGCCTGGGCCTAAGGCAGGCGCTAAACCGCTGAGCCACCCAGGTGTCCTTCTGGTACTAGTTCTGATGGCATTTTACATGCCCCTCTTCACCCCTCCTACTGAGCATTTATGCACTTGAGAAGAGTTAGATACAGGAATGCCACAAAAGGTAAGCATATTTGATTAAGAAAAATAGTTACAGTCACAGTCCAAGTGACCTGTTTTGAGTTCCATGTTCTTTGTTTAGTCATTCAGGCTGAAATATTAATATTCCCCTAGTTCCACTTTGTTTCCAATTTTGGTTGTTAGGCAAACTATTTCCTTAGACACTACACGCTTTTTGAACTGTTGTTATACAGTTATTAGTCATGTACATAATAATACAATCACCCCAACTTAGAATATGTTAACAAGAAATATACCATTATCTACTGAAGTTATATTATTATAATATTAATATATTAATGCCTTACCTCCTCTCATAAAGGATATAAAGTAGCAAGTTAAAAAATTTTTCTATATAATAAGTCTGTATAACATATTAATATGTTAATATTCCATTGAAATTTTCCCAGTAACTTGGTAACCAATGGAACTATGATTATAAATCATTCAGCAATAGGGTGATGATCGAATTATGATACATTGATATGAAGTACACAGCGTGTTAGGTGAAAAATGCAGCAAGACATACAATTTTATAAACATACACACCCCCCTCTCAAATACTCAAGTCAAGTGTCCACATGCCTGTGTTGTCAACTGTGGCCTCTATGAGTTAGGGGACGATAGCATTTTTTTCTTTTATTATTTTCTGCATTTTCTCTTTTAAAAGATTTTATTTATTTATTCATGAGAGACAGAGAGAGAGAGAGAGAGAGAGAGAGAGAGAGGCAGAGACACAGGCAGAGGGAGAAACAGGCTCCATGCAGGGAGCTTGACGTGGGACTTGATCCCGGGACTCCAGGATTGTGCCCTGCACGGAAGGCAGGCGCTAAACTGCTGAGCCACCCAGGGATTCCCTATTTTCTGCATTTTCTTTGTGTTCCTTATATTGCAATTAACAAAATAGAATTCAGCAATTTTTATACTCTTCCTTTGCCTACAGGAAAATAATTTTAAACCTAAGTTGAGGACTATAGATAGGACAGTTCTTAATTGCACATGTGAAACGTCAATGCCTAAGAGAACAATGCTGAAACATTAGAAGTGGTAGAAAATTCAAATAAAATACTTATCCATTATTCAGTATTTTGAATTTTAAAATATCAACCAAAGGTAGGAAAGTTTTCTTACCATCTCTTATTCCTTTAGAATGAAGAGACACACTGCAAAATGTAAAATAGTATTTACCAGAACTGAACCCACAAATGAAAGACCCAGGGCAGCAGTAAGAGAGTAACTAAAAAGCAGTATTACTTTATTTTTTTTGCCAAAGAGAGTCAATTCCTTATTTTGTTAGTGTCAATAATTTATAAAATAACAAGTTAAACATTAAGTCCTTCTGTTTTAAAAGATTGTTCCTTACAAGATAATGAAAATATTTTCCTGAAGTACCAAGCAAATGTTATTTATAAATGCAGAATGCTTATGTTATACCTCAGTAATAAAGAGAAATGAAAGAAATGTTTTAATGTTGCTGACTACATTACCTTCAGGAGCAATTGCAGAAGGACACACTTCTTTGAGGAGATCGCCTAATGTATGCAATTGTCCATCTGCAGCCACAGGACGAAAAAGCTTCTGAATAAAAGGTCGTTCAGTTGTTGTCTATTTGAAAAATGAAAAAGAATTCAAACAATTAAGTCTTTGAATTACAAATTAATAGGTCAGAAATTTAAAGCTGGTATCAGATGCCTTCTGATATAGTGTTATCACAAGCATACAACATTGCAAATGTGGTAATATAACCAAAAATGCTTAATATAAAATCAAGAACATCTAATCATGAGGAAGCAACAGACAAATCCAAAATGTGTGATGTTTTAAAGACAACTGGCCAGAAGAGAAAAAAAAAAAAAAAAAAAGAGAGAGAAGGAGAAAAAAAAGACAACTGGCTTCAACTCTTCAAATAAGTCAAAGGCAGAACAAAACAATACAAAAAAATTAAAAAGGACTGGTGAGATAGAACAACTCAATACAAAAAATAAATCTTGACTGAATATTGGGTTGGGGGAAAATAAGCTATAAAACATAATTCTGGAATAACTGGGGAAACGGAGAATGAACATTAGACTATTAAAAAATTAATGTCAAATTCTTAATGGTTATAAAGACAATATCCTTTAAGAAATTCATGCTTACACAGTTAGGGATGAGGTGCCATGCTGTCTGAAACATATCGTCAAATGGCTGAGAGAGAGAGCACATGAGCATGCATGCACGAGCACAAATGTGGGAAAATGTTAACTACTGGTGAATATAGGTGAAGGGTAGAAGGGTATAGTCTTTGTTGTTTTGTTATTTTTATTTTTCTATACATTTAAATATTTTCAGGGAACAGACTCACAGAGAACAAACTTATGGTTGCCAGAGGTAAAGTAGGGGAATGAGAAAGATGGCTGAAGGGGAGTGGGAGATAAGGCTTCCAGTTACAGAATGAGTAAGTCACAAAGATAAAAGGCACAACATAGGGAATATAGTCAATGGTACTGTATCAGCGTTATTAGCACTATGTCATAATTTACTGCTAATAATTTCAATATATCGACCACTTTTAAAATTATGTTTCATTTTCCTAAACTACTTCCATAGGAGCATGACAATGATGAGGAGAGTTTCATAACACACAGGACAGAGGCCTTGGAATCAGCCAGTCTGTGAACAGCACTATCATTTATGTGCTCTATTTTATACCCAGTTTCTCTGGAAAATTTGGACATTCCAGGTCTCTTAAGTTTTTGTGGAAATGAGTGAAGAACTATGCCAAACACATAGAAACACAAAGACACAGAGAGAGAATGAATGAATGAATGAGAATATTCACTAATATTAACATCCCCGAACTATTATTTTAAGATATTATGTTTTTACACTTTAAGCTTCCAGGGATAAAAGATCATAAAAACATACAAGAGAAGAAGAGAATAATGCCTTATATTTTATAAGTAAATTACTCATATATTCATATTTACATATAGTACTTACCAATAGTAGTTTCTAAAATTTTTACATATTTTTTATATACTTTCATATAGTGCTTTTCAAGAAAATGATTTCAAATACCTAACCATTAAAGATAAGTTTGCTGTTGTTGTTGTTGTTTTTTTTAAAAAGATTCTATTTATTTATTCATGAGAGGCAGAGACACAGGCAGAGGGAGAAAAGCAGGCTCCCTACAGGGAGCCTGATGTAGGACTCGATCTCGGGACTGCAAGATCATACCCTGGGCTCAAGGCCAGCGCTAAACTGCTGAGCTACCCAGGGATCCCCAGTTTGCTTGTTTTTTAATCACAGAGGTGTATCTCAATTCTACAGTGTAACTATTATAGATTTGGCACAAAAAAAAATAAATCTATTTTTAAGTATGGACATAAACTGAAATACAAGAAAAAACAGACATGATAATAAGTTTGTGAGCTACCTTTCCCAGCTTTTTTTTTTTTTTTTTCAAGTAGGCTCTACACCCAGCATGGAGTACAATGCAGGGTTCAAATTCCTGACCTTGAGATCAAGACCGGGGCTGAAATCAAGAGTTGGACGCTTAACTGACTGAATGATCCAGGCACCCCAACCTTTCCCAGCTTTATACTGTATATTCAATGGATAAATAAATGTTAAAAATTGTACTCCAATTAAGTATCTGTGTGGCAAGTATGTTTCATCTTCACAGAAGATGAAACAGAACAATATGATGCACAATCAAGGATTAACCATGTGAAGATAATAAGTGTTAGGGGTGTTCAGAGAAGAAATAAATGAATAGAGGACTGTAGTAATAATTTAAAAGAGCCACCACCCACTTAAGGCTTTCTATCTTCCAGGCAATGAAGAAGCTTTTAAGACTTTTTAGCAAAGGAAGTGACGTGATGAAAGAGGCTTTTTCTCAAGGCTAATGGAAAGCAGCACTGTGTACAATGACTTGGTTAAGAGGTAACTTCAGGAAGACGAGTGAGAGGCTGTCTGAATAATATAAGCCTATGTGATGACAACTAGGGCTGGGTCAGAGGAAAAGGAGGGTCAGAATTATACTCCCCAACTAAAAGAAATAAAGTTAAAATGTATCATCCATCGTCTGATCTGAAAACACTAAGATTTCCAGCCAAGTCAAAAAAACTTTTCAAGATTCATTAACCCCTTACTTTGTGACAAAACTGTGAGGTGGTTAGCTATAATAATATATACTGTAACAACCTAAAAACAATAGGCTAAAAAGGCTCCAAGTGGGCTTGCCTAAGATATTAAAAAATAGAAAATGTTCTTCACTCCTTTTCCTAATAAAATAGCTTATGCCTTCTTTGTGGCTCTCGTTTCTACTCTCCCAAACTTGAGCAGTGATAATGAAGGTATAACTTCAATAACCTTTATAATGATGTTATTTGCTTGGGTAGAAGAGAAAAGGCCTTTTCCTATTAACATATTCTAAATAAGTTCTGTAGAATAGAAACCAAGAAAACTCATCAAAGGGCTGTTTCTCATGTAACAGAAACCTTACTTTAAAAAACAATTACCCAAAATACCTCAATCAAAAAACTAATAAACCTCTTCTGCTTAATATTTATCATACTACCTTTATATCCTTATTCTTTAAAATTCAGTGCTCTGGGGCGCCTGGGTGGCTCAGCTGGTTAAGTGTCTGCCTTTGGTTCAAGTCATGATCCCAGAGTCCTGGGACTGAGTCTCACATCAGGCTCCCTGTTCAGCAGGGAGTCTGCTCCTCCCTCTCCCTTGCTAGTGCTTACTCTCTTTCTCTCCCTCTCTCTCACTCTTTCTCAAATAAATAAAATCTTTAAAAAAGAAAATTTGGTATTCTAGAAAAGAGCAGTCAGGTGTTTGAGTAAGTTACACCAAAGATCATGAAAACTACTCAATTTCAGGAGTCCTTAAAACAAAAGCCCTTTACAAACAGATCATGCATTCAAGTACTGTACAGAGGGCAATGGGAATGGAGGATGGATTCATGCAAATTTTTCAGCAGATCTCATTAAACCTAAGCTGAAGTTCAGCAGAAAAGACTAAATTATGCTAGAAGTATTTAAAACCTGTCTTCTTCTTGAATATAGCAAATTTTAAAGATACAAAAAACTCCATGAACATGAATTTTGCAAACTTTGATTTAGTATACATGAAACTAGACAATGCTAATGATATCCATATATAATCTAAATCTTAGCCTGACAGACAAGAAAGCTGCTCCAACAGGAATATACTTAACCTAGCCATTTATTTGTAAATATGCAAACTATTTTCAGTGACTTCCAAGAAGCAGTATTGCTCTCTCATAAGAAATATGACTTTGTAAAGTCATCTTTGAAACTGCCCTTATTATTACTGTAACAGATATGTATGTTATTCGTTTCTTAAATACACCAATAGAATATAAAATTGGGGTGCTACTGGATGGCTGCTCCCTATCCCTCCTCTAGTCATGTACCCTCACCAATGAAATGTAACTTTTCCAGTATGGAGAAGTTTTGAGGTTCATTTGCTTTGGAAATATATTGAGCAGAGGCAAAGAAATCAAACTTATAAAAATATTAAATTAAATTCATAGAAGTTTAGTGAATCTTACATATTTTCTTAAACTGACAGTTCAAGAGTTATACTCAAATTCTTAGAGATGATGTGTCTTACAACTATAGTGTAAACTGCCAGCTAATCATATTATTAATCTTGTACCTAAGAAATAAGATACAAAGAAATAGTTTATTTTCAACACAGCCAAGCAGGTTAACATTAAAGCTGATAAAAGAAGAAATGTTAGGCTGAAAGTGTGTAGACTTTAAGTGTAAGGCACAATGGATATATTAAGACCAAGTTTGATTCTTATGAGTTACATAAAGTATATACTGCAACAAAAATGCAAGGCAATTTTTGAAGAGCACAGGCTCTGGAGCCAGAAAGAACTGGCCTTAAGTCCATGCTGTGTCATTTATTACAGACCCATGGGCAGAGTTATCTGACTTTCCTGAACCTCAGTTTCCTCAACTGCAAAACAAGAATAACCACACACACACACACACACACACACACACACACACACACACACGTATATGCATGGGCATAAATGAAGATAATACCTACATTGTAGAGTTTCTGAAGTAATAAAATATAAGCACAGCACAATCATGGTACATATGATTACCTAAATGCACCTCCCAAAACATATACTACCACCATGATCACCAGTTTTAGTTTTAACCCAATTTAGCAGACAAGTTTATTCAATCTTATTATCTCTTAAGTTCACTTGTCTGTATTCTAAAATCATGAAAATCAGCTTAAAGGAAATATTGATACACTAGACCTCATGAAAATGAAAAAAAAAAAACCTAAACTTTTGCTCTGTAAAGATCCTATGAAGAAGATGAAAAGACAAGCCCAGCCTGAGAATATCTGTAACCACATTTCCAATAAAGTTCTTATATCTAGAACATATCAAGAATATAAAGAACTCTAAAATTTCAACAGTAAAAAAAAGCAAAGAATTCTATTAGAAAATGGGCAAAAGACACAGACATTACACCAAAGAGGATATATAGATGGCCAAAAAAGCACATGAAAAGATGTTTGACACATCATTAGACATTAAGGAAATGCAAATTGCACTA